CTTCAGCGTTTTACTAGTGAATTGTCTTGTGGTTGCTTCTTTGGGTAGTTTTATACTACTCTTTTTTTTTTTTTTTGTTTCTTTTATTGTTGAAGCGTCCGAAAAGATTTTTGCTTGTTAGATCTTTAGATCGTAGCTACGGGTTAATGATTTCCGAATTGATTAGTGCGCCTTACTTGGAAATCACATAGAATGTTTCTCAATATATATTTTATATTAAAATATTCAGTGTTTTCGAAGTCTGGAAAGTCTGGAGCAATAACGATAATATTCGATTTAGTGTCTTTTATATATACTGCAGAATTACTAGTCATGTGAATTAAGCATCGATCACCTAAGCCCATTTTCTCTGATCACGTGAAAGAACGATCGATATCTCCAGTCAGGAGTTCAATAGCGTGCCAATGGGATACTATATAGTTTTTTGTGCATCATGGGCTCCATTGCCAGCCCCCCGTGTTGGCAATTTTTTCAATGGATACTAGTCTTTTGAGCATCATGGGCATTACCAACTGTTACGACAAGGGATCGTAACTGGTCGTAAGCATTTAATGTGCAAACAAATGGTTTGCTCCAAATGTACAATTTCAAGAAAATACTCAAAATGTGATCAATACAAGAAAGAATCCTCCCTTTATTAATGTTCCATAACCCTAATTATATACTATCTATCTATCTACGTATTAGGCTCTAATTAGCTATTATGCAAAAATGTAAAGCATGATCTAACTCTAAAATGTCGGAATAATCGTCAAAGTTTAACATAGTAGCAAAACATTCATTTTTGATACTTTTATATCTACTTTTTTTTTGATACACCTAAACACATTCTAAAATTTTTATACTTTTTACTAAACTACGTGCAATTTTATTGGTTAGTTTTAGGGTATGTTTAGATGTATCAAAAAAGTAGGTACAGTATCAAAAATTGAATGTTTTGCAACATAGTAATTACTTTGATCATTACCCAATAAGCTATTATAAAGTTACGCAAGAGAAAGTATAATGTTAAATTTGTTACGCAATTTTTTCGTAACACCAACCTAGCTGGCCAATTAGCCAACCCTCAATGGGTATTCTTATGTTAAGCAAATTTCGGACCTCAGGCATCAAAATTTGGGTCCGTAATTTATCAAAAATGTCCTATATATATTTAGTATTTAAAAATGTGTTAGTAATAATACGTACCTTTATTAAGATTAATATATACAGTGGTACATATTGTTAAGCTTAATAAATAGGTCTGGCACCCTGCAGCTGCACTTACTGGTAGCTACTGCACTAGGCCAATTAAGAACCCAGAAAATCTTGTCTAGCCAAAAAATCTCTTTACAATAAATCCACATTCTTTTATAAAGAGATAAAAAGGACAAAAAAATATACTAAACTAAAAAAAAACAGAGGTATAAAAGATAATAATAAAATATACAACAAGAAAAAAAAAAGAGAAAGGGTAGTACTAATCAAGAAAAAGAAAAAAAATCAGATAGCACAATTATTAGCCTGTATTAGGCCTTTAAAAATTATATACTACATTAGCAAAATATATAAGCATAATCTTACATAAGTTATTATGTCGCAAAATATTCTGTAAGAATTACGATCGATGTGGAATATTACGAAAGTTATTACAGAATATTACGAAATATATTATGGAATATTACAAAATATATTTTGTAATATTTCGAAATATACTTTGTAATATTTTGAAATATATTTCATAATATTCTGTAATAACTTTCGTAATATTTCATAATAACTTTCGAAATATTACAAAATATAATTTAAATAAAATAAGTAATTTTATAACAACCCATGATCAAACAACCAAAATTAATAACATATATTTTATATGTATTTTATATATTTTTTATTATTTCAAAGTTGAATTTAGAGTTTTACAGTTTTACAAAAAAATTATTAAAAATTATATACTAAAAAAAACTACTTTCAAACCCAACAAAAAAAATTAACAGAGAACTGCTTCAAGCCTGATGAAGCAGTAAGAAATATCACAAACCAATTCTTTCAAACTACCAACAGACCATACTTTTAGTGTTTTGGTAAAAAATTGTTTTGTGAACCAAAAAAAGTACTACAAGACAATTTACCAACAAAACATCGAAGGTTCAGAAAAATACAATACACCAGCAAAGCATCAAAAGATCAGAAGAAATACCACAAGACAATTCACTAGCAAAGTATCAAAGTATCAGAAAAAATACCACAAGACAATTCAACAAAGAACGCCAGAGGCCCAGAAGAAATACCAAAACAATTCACCAGAGAACACTGAAGGTCAAAAAAAATATACCACAAGACAATTCATCAGCAAAACACCAAAGATCAGAAGAAATACTACAAGACAGTTTACCAAAAAATGCTGAAGAACCAGAAGAAATACTACCATACAATTCACTAGAAAATGCTGAAGGACCAGAAGAAATATCATAGGACAATTTACCAGAAAACACCAAAGGATCAGAAGAAATATCATAAGACAATTCATTAGCAAATGCCAAAGGACCAGATGAAATACCACAAGACAATTCACCAGTAAAGCATCAGACCAGAAGAAATACCACAAAACAATTTACCAGAAAATGCTGAAGAACTAAAAAAAGTATTAAAGATAATTTACCAGCAAAAGGCTGAATAATACCACAATACAATTCACAGAAAACGCTAAAGAACCAGAAGAAATACCACAATTCTGAAAAGAAATTTTACAAAAAAAAAAAAAAAAAGATAGTATAACTACTCAAAGAAGCAACCACAAGACAATTTATCAGTAAAATGCTGAAGGATCAAAAAAAATACTACAAGACAATTCACTAGCAAAATGCCGAAGACCAGAAGAAATACCACAAAGCAATTCACCTGAGAATACCGAAGGACCAGAAGAAGTACCAAAGACAATTCACCAGCAAAATACCAAAGAACAAAAGAAATATCACAGTACAATTCATCAAAAAATGCCAAATGACCAGAAGAAATATCATAAGACAATTGCCAGAAGAGAAATTCCAAAAAAAAAAAAAAAGAGTAGTATAAAACTACCCAAAGAAGCAACCACAAGACAATTCACTAGTAAAACGCTGAAG